GAGTTGTTTACCTCGTTTGAGAATGTCTACACGCAAGCATGAATACCTCAAAAATGTAACAGCCTACACGAGATTTCAAAATGTCTTGATGACTCTCCTTTGCGTGTTTTCAGATCTTCTACCACTTGGGATGTCCTTAGGCCAAGGCAACAGACGAAAGATTGGGCGGATATGATCTGGTTCAAAGGGGCAATACCAAAACTCTTCTTCACTATGTGGATTGAAAACTTTGACAAGCTGCCAACTTTGGCACGGCTAGCTTCTTGGGGACTGCTGTCTCGTCTAGATGCACCTTCTGTTCCAGATTTGAGGAAACGAGAGACCATTTATTGGTGTCTTGCGAGTACATTCAGGACGTCTGGAGAGAAGCTCTTATCAAGTGCCACTCGCCTTCAACAATGCTCACAATGTTTACAAACTGGTCAGAACTCATGTCTTGGATAAGAGCCGCTGCGTCTAAGAGGTTATCTCCTTAGGAAACTGGCGGCACAAACAGTGGTCTTCCACTTGTGGAAGGAACAAAACAATCTCAGACACAATCAGATTTCATTACCTGCGGCTGTAATTTTCCAGGGGGTTGATAAGGAAATGAGAAACATTATTTCAGCTAGGAGGCTTAGTAAACATTTTGCTTCCCTTATGACCAAGTGGTTGAGTTAAGCTGGTTTAGTAGGCTATTTTCTTTGGTCCATCTTGTTTTTGTTTCTTTTTGCCAAGATGGCTCAGACTTAAGATCTTGCTTTGTAAAACCTTTTCATCCTTCTATGATATTTACAGTTTAACAAAAGATAATAATAATACACAATTAAAAAAAAGTGTGGGCTTCAAGAAAAAAAATTAGAAACCCAGAATAATTAGGTTTAGTCGTCTTCTTCACTTCAATATTCTACATCTCGCAGCCGCAAGTTTCCTGGAACTTAAGAACACCGAGTAGCTCACCGTAATGTCTTCATCTCCCACTATTATCTACTTTATTCATGTGTGTTTGGTTGTTTGATGTGGCTGACGGTATGGGATTGTGTGTAGTATGAAGCGAGAGAACGAATAAGGGGTGAACCGAAGGAAAGAGAGCATCCAATTTGTATTACGCATGCCATTCATGCAACTTCTAATAGCAACAACTCTTCCAAAGATGATGGCAGTTCATAACCACATGCTTTTTCCTCAGAGGATTTTTAAGATGTATTCAGCATGTGCTCTCGGGATGAAAACAAATTGTAAAAGGGAACTTTTCACCTCTCTGACTTACTTTTTGCAACATTTTTATATTTCATTATCGTTACTTTACGAGTTCCGATAATAATAAGATGCTGTGTAAAACTTTGATCAAATACACCGATCACAATCGGCTTCCTGGCGAATAGAAACCATATCTCATACTTCTTTTTCACTCGAAGAATTCACACAATGACAAACTAGCCAAAAATTGTGATCAGTGTTTTTGATAGGGTGGGAGTGTAAAGTTGTAGGGGTATAGTGGTATTAAAAATAAAAATAAATTCCCTAGGATAGAGCTAAAAGAGTTTTTATCACAAATGTAAACTTTAAAAATAAAAATAACTAAAATAGACTTAAATATTTTATCAAAAATAAGTAAATATACATTTACATCATATGGTTTAACTAATTTTAGATTTTTTTTTTGTTTAGAGTTGAGGAGTGAGATTTTGGGGTAGGATTTCAAATTTAAAAAAAAAAAAACTTAAAATTTTCAAAATAAAAATGATATTTTGGTCATTTCAGTTTTTGACGTCTATTTTGTGATAAAAACTTAAAAAGGTCTATTTGAGATATTTTAACTTGAAAATTTGAAATCGTAGGGCGTTATTCACTTAATTTCGGCAAAAACGGTATATATACGTCCTAATTACTATTATTATTATTATATAAAGGGCAATTCTGTCAAATAGACCATTTTAAGTTCTTATAACAAAATAAACCACAAAAACTAAAATTACCAAAATACCATTTTTTGTTTTGAAAATTTGTTTTTTTTTTAAAAAAAAAAAATTGAAACCCTAAACCCCATTCGTCAACTCTAAAAAAAAAGTTTAGGATTAGTTAACCCAAAATATATAAGTGTATGTTTATTTATTTAAAAAAACATTTAAGTCTATTTTAGTTATTTTTATTTTAAGGTCTATATTTGTGAAAATAAGAATTTTAGGTCTATCCAGAGAATTTTCTTATATAAATGATAATTAAGAGCATCTCAAAGAAAACACTCTATTTTAGAGTTTACAAAACTCTATTTTTGAAGTTTTAAGGTGTTCCTCTCCAAAAACAAAACTTCAAACCCAACTTTAAAATTATTTTTGTTTTACTCTATGATCTTTATATTTGTCATAATTAATGTAAAATCCCTAAATGTTTTATAAATAACTAGCACATATATAGAATCATAACAACAATATTAATTAATAAAATTTTACAGTAAAATATAGACTTGTAAATAGAAATACATAATAAATATTAAATTACATGCAAAATACTACATTATTTCATAAAATTATTTTTGTAATGCTCTATTTTCAGTTACACAAAACTTATTAGGAAAATATTTTGTAGATTTTGAAGGTTCCGGAGCAAATTTACCAAATTATTAGTGTTGTTGTAATATTTAAAATTATGTAATAATAATAATATTTTAATGTACCTTTAAAAAAAAACATTCTAAGTTTCTTTTGTAATATTCGTGATGTTTAATTCTAGTTTTAAAATAATAAATTACAACCAACGTACTACATTATTTCATAAACTATTTCCATAATGCTCTATTTTCAGTTACACAACAATTTTGGAGATTATGAAGGTTCCAGAGCAAGTTACTAGACTATTAGTGTTACTAGATGCATAGTCTCCGCGCAAGCGCGGGGGTTGGATACGTTGTTGATGTGTTGTGTAGTTTTGTGTATGAGACTTTGCTGTTTTTTTTTTAAACATTTGTTTATCTGGCTTATCTATAATGGTGATGAATGAAACATTATAAGTCACACAACTTCATTAGTCTGATAAAAGAATAAACATCGAATTCAGATGGGTTGATATTTTCATATTTTATCTTCGTAGTGATTTTATCGAGTATTCCCTTTATTAGTGATTTTATCGAGCATTAGTGTTATCAGTGCTTTCATATAAAAAAATAATTTAATGGAGACAAGAAAAAAAAGGACATGTGTTTATTAGTGTAATTTTCTTTCTGAAATTATGTTGTGTATATATATATATATATATATATATATATATATTTTAATTGTGATGTATATAAGATTTATGGCCGATCTGAATGGTTTAGGGTAAATATTTATTATTGAAAAATATGTTTTTATTTTATTTGACGATTATAACTGAATTGAAATGATATTGGAGGTTAGAACATGATAACTTTTCTTATAAAAGTATCTAAGATGGTCTCATAAAGTTTCAAATCTTTAAGCCATTTTGTATCCCAACAACCAGCATAAAAAATCATTCTGAATCTCCCTAAGCTTTTAGGTATCCCGGAAAGTCCAAATTTTTTTAAAAAAAAATTACATACAAACACTGCGTTTCGAACCCGCGCACTCGCGGTTGCAACTTCTCGTCACCAATTTACACCACTGAGTCATTTCATCACTCATCAATAACATTTAATCTTACAAAATGTTAGACGTTTTTGTTTTCCCTAATAACACGCGTGGGACCCACAAACTTGCTGAGGTGGATAGGCTTAGGAACCTTGAAAGTGTATCATTATAATATAGATTGTAATATTTAAATATATGTAATTAATAATAATGTTTTCATGCACCTTTAAAATTTATTTTATTAAGTTTCTTTTGTATATTCATGTTGTTTAATCCTAGTTTAAAACAATATAAATTTTATTTTACATTTTTATGTGTAAAAATTTTAATTTATAAAAAAAAATCCAAAATATTTAAGAAATATATTTTTTAAAGATTAAAACGATAAACGAGAAAATACTTAAAAATCATAAATATGATATATAATTGATTGTAAGGACTAAAATGCAAATAAAAGATGAAACTTCAAATTTGAAATAATAATTACAAATATGAACTTTTACTATTCAAAACTCTAAATTTGAAGTTTTGAAGTTCCTTTTTAAAACTTCAAATTTGAAAATTTTAAATTTATTTTTAGAGATCCAAAATTCCATATTTGGTGTTATAAAATGTTTTTTTGGAGATGCTAGTAGAGAACATAAAAAAAATATATTTGAGGTTACAGAATTTCTTTTGGAGATCTTTTTTTTTATAACACTGGTGCAATGGTACAAAGAAAGTTCCAAAATAATACAAAAGGGAAAAACAGAGAAGATACGAGATATCATTAGACATCAACAGATAACGAAAAAGAAACCTCACCCAAAACCTTATAGCTGAGCCTCCAAAGCAAGTAAGTGATGAAGCCACACGGGTGCATTACGGGCGATGTAAGACTGGTGACAGTTATCGCGAGTGACACTTATAGCAATAGCGTCTGCTGCTTCATTGCGCTCTGGAACTGCGTGGTCTAAACTCCATGAATCTATCCTGGCGAGGAGAAAAGAAATATTGTGACGAATATGGCTGAAAATGAGGTGGTCATTTGGATGTGTAAGTGCGTCATGGAGGGTCTCGGAGGAAGTCTCAAAAATGATATTTGAGAAATGCAGATTATGGACACATTCCACCGCCCAAAAAAGAGACCACAAATCAGCCTCAGTCTTTGTGCGCATATAATAAAAAGACTGACGGCTATGCATAACTGTACGCTCATTTTCATCTCGTAAGATCCATGAAGCACCACTATGACGGTTAAAGTTTAACCAAGAGGAACCAACATTACATTTGAGGAAACTTTTGGGTGGTTTTTGCCATCGAATCATTACAGAAGGAGCCTCCAAAACATTATCCTTTGCTTCTGAAAATGTATCGAATCATGTTGATTCCTCTTCATAGGCTTTCTTAGCAATAAAAGAAGCCTCGATATCTTTGGTTTCAAAAACAAAGGCATTTCTAGCTTTCCAAATTTCCCATAACAACCAAAGGAAAACATTCCTTGTATGAATATCCGTTGTTGATTTTTTGACAATCATGATAAGATGCACAAAAATTAAAAATGTTAGAATTCCGAGAAAAATCTTTTGGAGATCTAATAAAGAAAAGTATATGTTATTTTTCAAAGAGAAAAATCTATTAAGAAAAAAACGCAAGGTTCATCGTTGGTTTAATCGCTGGCTGCCAACTCGATCATCTTCTACCCAACGCCACTATTATTCATCGATCGCTACCTTCTTAATCTTTTCATTCTCTGGCTCCGATCTCTAGCCTCCGCCTCAGATCTGAAACCGAGGCACTGTAAAATTTAGGTTTCAGGAAGATGGCGGCGAAGACAGCCAGATCAAAAACCACACCGACGAAGGAAAACGGCGTCAGAGTCGAGGAAGGCCTGAGTCTGTTCAAGTCTGATAAGTTCGACGCTGACGCTTATGTGCAATCCAAATGTTCAATCAACGAGAAGGTTGCCTTCTTCAATCATTTTAATTTTTTTATTAGGGTTTTCCGTAGGGACTTGGTGGTAGTCGCAGGAAATCATAATAACGAAATCGATAGTAGTTACCAGATTGTGTTAATTCGACAAGATGATCATGATGATACTGTTTCCTTTAGGCAGTCTCTTGCAACCAGAGTCATCATTTGTTGCCTCGTTTACTGTTTTCCAAAAGAGTCAATTTGATCACGGGACCAGGCATAAAGGGTATCTCGCCTGTGACAGATCTGAGAATTTATAATTGTCTAGTTTACTACAAGTACTCGATTTGGTTAGCATCAAGATTACTAAGTTATCTTGAAGTAATGCCAGATTTATGTTCTATTTGCAGGATATAAAACAGTTATGTTCTTATCTATTGGATTTGAAGAAAGCTTCTGCAGAAGAAATGCGGCGGAGTGTCTATGCTAATTATCCCGCCTTTATACGGTTAGCTTATATCCTCTCTATTTTGCTTTAGTGGTTGGTTGATTTAACAGCTAGTGAGTTTTCTTTGAAGTTGATTTGATCAAAGAGATACTTTCTCAAACATTATTTCGTTTCTTAATTGTTTTGGTGCATGTGCATTTTGCATATGACTTCATTGTCCTGGCAATACCTGAGTGTTTTTCCTTTGTACTGTGTTAATCTTTTGTTCTGTTCTGTGCAGCACATCAAAAGAGATATCAGACTTGGAAGGGGAGCTATCATCTATTAGAAATCTTCTGTCCACTCAGGCCACTCTAATTCATGGCTTAGCAAATGGAGTTAACATTGACGATGAAAAAGTATCTGATGGATCTCCCGCAAATGGTGTCTTGAATTTTGAAGACAACGACCTTTCTGATCTGGAGAAATGGGCTGCAGAATATCCTGACCAGCTTGATGCCTTATTAGCTGAAAGAAGGGTAGATGAAGCTCTGGCAGCTTTTGATGAGGGGGAGATTTTTATATCCCAAGGAAACGAGAATCAGACTTTAAGCTCTTCTGTACTTTCATCTCTTCAGTTTGCTATTGCCGAGCGCAAGCAAAAACTAGCTGACCAACTTGCCAAAGCTGCATGTCAACCTTCAACTCGAGGTGGGGAACTTCGGTCAGCAATAACAGCTCTCAAAAGGCTTGGCGATGGACCTCGAGCCCATACTGTGCTGCTTGATGCCCATTTCCAGAGATATCAATACAACATGCAAAGTCTTCGTCCATCTAGCACCTCATATGGAGGAGCGTACACTGCTGCACTTTCTCAGCTCGTTTTCTCAGCTATCTCTCAAGCTTCTAGTGACTCATTGGGAATCTTTGGGAAGGAGCCAGCATATAGTTCTGAGCTTGTTACTTGGGCTACTAAACAAACAGAGGCCTTTTCCCTTCTTGTTAAAAGGCATGCATTAGCATCTTCTGCAGCAGCAGGAGGACTAAGAGCCGCGGCAGAATGTGCACAGATAGCTCTGGGGCATTGTTCGTTGTTGGAAGTTCGTGGTTTGACCCTCTGCCCAGTGCTTTTGAAGCACTTTAAGCCTATTGTGGAACAGGCATTGGAGGCCAATCTTAAAAGAATTGAAGAAAACACTGCAGCTATGGCCGCTGCAGATGATTGGGTGCTGACGAATCCTCCTGCTGGTAGTCGTCATGCAAGCACAGCATTTCAGAATAGGCTTACATCCAGTGCCCACCGCTTTAATCTGATGGTCCAGGTAGGCAGGCAATCTTTTATCAAACGCTTTTCTCAGATATTTTCAGATTTCTTTGAGAATACGAAGTTATAGGAAATGCCGACTTGCGATACTGTTGGATTATCTTTGAATCTTAAATATCGTCTTTGTCACTGTTCAATATGCCAGTATCCCTATGATAATTTTGCTTATATATCTTAACTTATGAGTTTATACGGAAAGTCGGAAACTACAAAAGTGACTAGCCATTGTGGATGCTGATTAATTAAACCTTGACTAGAGTATGTCAAGGACTGAAACTCTTGCCAAACTGCACGTGCATCCCCACTGGAAAAATTATTAATGAAGTCTATGCAGTACCAATTCTGTCTTACTCTGGTCTGATAGGCAATGGATTGCCTCTTCTCCTGACTTCTGGAGTTATATTTCTAGTTGATCCTTTTTCAATCTATCTTTTGTTTCAGGACTTCTTTGAGGACGTAGGACCGCTTCTATGTATGCAGCTGGGAAGTAAAGCGCTGGAAGGTCTGTTTCGAGTGTTCAGCTCATATGTAGATGTGCTGGTAAGAGCACTTCCTGGTTCCATGGAAGAAGAAGAAGCAAATTTCGAAGGTTTTGGTAATAAGATTGTCCAAATGGCTGAGACCGAGGCACAACAACTTGCATTACTTGCAAACGCATCATTGCTAGCTGATGAATTACTCCCACGTGCTGCCATGAAACTCGCTCCTCTTGATCAGACAAGTCACAGGGCAGACGACCCAAGGAGACCTTCAGACAGACAAAATCGTAATCCTGAACAGCGAGAATGGAAGCGGCGTTTACTTAGTACTGTTGACAAGTTAAAAGATTCATTTTGTCGCCAGCATGCCTTGGATCTCATTTTTACCGAGGAAGGAGATAGCCATTTGTCCGCAGATATTTACATAAACATGGATGGGAATGGCGATGATGTGGACTGGTTCCCATCTCTGATATTCCAGGTAATTGTGGTTTCATCTCCATCAGTCCAGAAAGCCTTTATAAAGTACTGCGACCACGTTTTGTACCGATATAGGAACTTTGATTGTCTGATTTTATGTTGTCTGAATAAATCTATGCTTTTCATTAACAATATTCTTTTTCCGTTAGCTTAAATGTCATATACTTTGATTGTTGTGCCGTTGGAAACAGGAACTTTATGCGAAACTTAACAGGATGGCAAGTCTAGCGGCAGATATGTTTGAAGGAAGAGAAAGATTTGCCACTTCTTTGTTGATGCGATTAACAGAGACAGTGATCTTATGGCTTTCCGGAGACCAGAGCTTCTGGGATGACATTGAGGAAGGTCCTAGACCTTTGGGACCTCTTGGCCTCCGGCAGGTTTGTAAGAAGATTTTCCGTCCATCAAAACTGCTGAATACTTTTCTAACAACCTGAATCTGTCACAGTTGTATTTGGACATGAAGTTTGTCATATGCTTTGCATCCCAAGGTCGCTACCTATCGAGGAATTTGCACAGGGGAACTAATGAGATAATAAATAAAGCCTTAGCAGCTTTCACTGCAACAGGACTAGATCCATATAGGTAAGGCGGTTTTGAGGGTATTTTGGTACATTATAACCTTTTTCTGGTAGTACAAGTGGATAAATTTGGTTTTGAATGATATGTGCAGTGAGCTGCCCGAAGACGACTGGTTCAACGAGATATGTCTGGATGGAATGGAAAGATTGAGTGGTAAAGCAAAAGGCAACAATGGGGAAGTCCACAGTCCGACTGCCTCAGTGTCGGCTCAGTCTGTTTCGTCAGCGAGATCTCATGGAAGTTACTAAACCGATCGCATCTTTCATGTTTAAAGAAGGTAAGTGGTATTAACCGATTGCAAATTATACGATGAGATGATTGTGGGGTTTGTAATTGTGGCTGTGTTGATTATGTTCTCTCAGTTCTCTCTTTATCTGCCTCCTTTGGGTTAAGATAAGAAGTAAAGAATATTGATCTTTAGTCACTACACACTTTCTTTTGGTATGTAGTGAAGTGCTCTGTTGGAGATTTCTTAAGCTTCTCTTTACCAATCCAATGCTCTTAATTGGAAAAAAAAAAAAAAAAAATCTCGTATACTCTTTCCTAAATTTTATTTTAATTATCATAAATGATAAACGACTACATAACCAAGTGAAACTTAAAAGACCTCGGATATGGCGTGGATCCACTTTCTAAAGGAGACCCGACCAACTATCTAAACTGCTTGGAAATCTCAAAACTTTTGGTAACTTTTGGTGTTACTTTAAAACGTTGTATAACTTAGTAAAAATTTCAGCTAATTTATATTGTATCTTTTACAGTACCATTTATTAATCCAGAAAGAGAAGTCACTTTATTGATTTCTGCTTACGTGACACTCATAGAAAACACTCTTTGATTAATTCTATTGGTTCATTTTTGCTAATTTCTTTTTGATTTATTTTAAAATCGGCAGGGAAGAGTTAACCTAGAATCACTTAATCTAGGCTTTCAAACACTCTCAAAAATACATATATATATATATTTAGTTCTTTAGAACATTTGTACATATATATATATATATATATATATATAAATTTAGTATAAAATATAATTTTGGTTTTCAACCTGTGATAAATATATTTTCATAAATCTAAATTTTATGTGATTTCTTATCCTGGTAAGAAAAACACACACATACATTTTATTTTATACTAAAATATGTTAAAAATTAGTAATAATTTCTTATCCTTTATATAATTATTGTTAGAAAAACACACATACATATTATACTAAAATATGTTAAAAATTCACTAAATACTACATAAAGGCTATTTCAGAATTTGAAGTATTACTAAATAATATATGTTTACTAATAAACTAGATGACCCATCCGCACCTTGTGCGGGTATAAAAATATAGTATAATGCTGAGATAGGAGTATCTATTGAGTTCAAATATGGGAGTTAGTGGAACAAGTGAGAGTTTCAATGCTGAGATAAGATTTGCGCAAATCTCTAGGATGCATTAGAGGTGGGCAAATCGTTACATTTTCGGTTTGGTTTGTTTAGTTCGGTTTTAATAAAAAAAATTTCAACTGAAATAAACCTTATTTAGTCTGGTTCGGTGTGGTTTATGTCTAGTTCAATTTATATTCAGTTCGGTTTGTTTTTGGATCAGTTTAATTAGGCTCTTTGTCGCTTAATTTTTTAAAAGAAAAATTATGTTTTAAAATATATACACAAAAATATGTGAACTAAATTCAATATTAAACTGAAACAAATACTAAAAAAGTCACAAAAAGTATATAAGAATAAAACAAATGAAAGTTAACCAAAGTAAAAAAAAAATTAACATCATTAGTATGTTTTTAATAAAAGTTAACTATTAAAAAAACAAATGTAAGTAAGATATACATGAGATAGTGACATATTAAAAATGTGATAAAAATCTCATAGATATCACAATCCCATAAAAATGTGATGAAAGTTTAAATATAATTCATAAGTAATATAAAATAAAAAGGACATTTATGAATAAAAAAATCCCATAGAAACCTGCAAAAAATTGTCAAATTTTTTTGCAATTGTACAATATAAAATAATTTAATAGATTTCTAAATTTTATCGAGACGAAAATAATATTGAATTTGCATATCGCTATTGAAACAAACTGAAAAATGGTTTGTAATCAACTACAAACGGTCTTTCATCTGTGTTATTTATCTGTTAATATAAAAATAAACAAATGTATATATATAGTAAATCACATTTTTAAGATCCATATTTATATATATATATATATATATATATATAATTAAGATAATATTTTTGGATTTTCTACATCTCAAATCACCATTATCATATAAATTTGTGCAAGGTAATTGATAGCAAAATAAGGTAATCATCATATTTCCGAATTAACTAATTAGGAAATAAAGAACATATACATTAATGCAATATCAGATGTATATAGTTACTAATAAATGACATCATAAAAGAACAAGAAATTTACTTAATAGACATATATTTTCACAAAAATTTAACTTTTAAATTTGTCAATTAAATGTATATTTAAAAAAATACTTCCTAAAAAGATTATTTCGTTTAGAATTATATATAATAAAAAATTCAGAATATATCAAATTTAAAGAATAATTATGAANAAGAACAAGAAATTTACTTAATAGACATATATTTTCACAAAAATTTAACTTTTAAATTTGTCAATTAAATGTATATTTAAAAAAATACTTCCTAAAAAGATTATTTCGTTTAGAATTATATATAATAAAAAATTCAGAATATATCAAATTTAAAGAATAATTATGAATTAATAATCATATTTTATCATTAAGTCTTATGTTTCTTGAAATATTTGTTATAAAAATTCTTGTAAACACATTTCTTGAGATATATAAAGTCTTATCGTTCTTGTAATATTTGTTTCCTTTTAATAAACATGAAGCAATTAAAGAAAAATATTAAAAATTGACTGTCATAAATTTGCAATAATTAACATACCATTTAAGACAAGTAACTGATGGCAAAATAAGGTAATCATCTTATCAACTTGCGAAAGTAATTGATAATAAAATAAGACAAGTTATTAATAAACAAATCAACTAATTAAAAGCCTTTACCAACAAGGTATATCTTTCCTAATCTAATACCATAATATGGTTATAAAATTAAAGAATAATAAATAATTTTGATTTTGATATATTTTAAATCTATAGAAATATATAATAATTATGTTTTATCACTTATATTTAATATAGAAATTTGTATTTAACCGATTTAATTCTAACATTAGTATTAGAAATAAATACAAAAATGTTACACATATGATATTCTAACTCTGAATTATATACATAATTTATTATGTGATAAATTGTATAAAGTTATATTATAATTGACATAGAACTATATAGTTTATGATGACAAAAAAGAAATATATAGTTTACATATATGAATTTATAGGATATACATTTTATAATATGATAAATTGTATAAAATCATATTTGAGTACAAAGTTGATAAAATGTATAAAAAGTTATACTAACTTTTATAGTAAAATATTGATTAAAGATTTTTTTTCTTTAGTGTATAAGCAAATAATTATTTGATAAACATAGAGAAAGTAACAAAGCATGAAACTTACATTGTAGTTTACGTGTTTTGGATGATATGATCATTTGCAATGCTCATGTCTCTGAATAACATGAATGTGAAGAGAGATTTAAGTACTATGGATCCACAAGAAGAAACGTCATAATCGTTGGTCTGCGCATATAAACTAAAATTGTAAATTAAAAAACCAATAGAAAAATACATATGAAAGCATTCTTCTCCTTCTAAGCTCTAACAAACAATCATTAAATAGAAATATAATACCTATGAACATATTTTAAAAGTAAGAATTAGAATTCAAATAGATCTACGATTAATCAAATCATATAGAAAGATAAAAAAAATTTCTTGCATCGTGGTGAAATCGTTATAATAGGGCATCTGCATATAAACCAAAAGAAAAATCAGCTCTGATGAAATATGTATATGTAAAAGGTTAATGATGTAAAATAACAAAAACAATATCAACATAAAAAGTTCAGAATAAAAAGTTCAGTGGCTTCGTTTCTCATACTGTGAATGTCTTATATATAGTAAATTGATGGATGTTTCTCAATGATTTAGCTTGCATGATAAGATAATAAATAGAATATTCTCTAATAAATTATTGAGAATATTATATATTCTATACGATTAATCATATGAGAAACTGTATATATAAACTATATATTAGAAATTGTATATTCAATATTAATAAGGTAAGTTAATAATAACAAACAACCTAATTAGATACAAATCGATAAATCACACTAAACAATGTAATCAATATGATATCAAGAGTGAATTGTTTTCCGTATTTGTAATAAGGAAATTTATTAATACATGTTTTATTAATTTATATTCTTGTGCACGTAATATCTAATAAGGAAAATTATTAATACATGTATTAATTATTAGTAAGGTTAGTAAATTATTATTGATCGACCAATTAATATTCTTGGCTTAATTTCATTATTGTGCAAGTAATGTAGTTTTTAAATAAGGTAAGACATTTAATATGAATTATTATATTTGATAGATTTAAAAATTAATTGAAATAGATTAAATAAAGTTAGAACTTGTGCAACATATGTATTATTAAAATAAGGTAAGTCATTAAAAGGAATTAACAAATTTGGAGTGTTTGGAAACGTCGATAGTTTTGTTATCAAATTACTCTTCGCGCTGAATTAAAAAATAGAAATTTTTTTTTTTTTAAAATCAACCAATAAGATTAAGAGAATTAATCCTAGAAGCCCTCTATGAGTGCCACGTGTCAAGAAATCACTAAAGTGACTTCTCTTTTAATGTATAGGGGGATTACCACATTCATATTTAAAATATTTAGATACATTATTTCTATGAAATTACAAAACAGAGAAAGGATCGCAAAAGGATGTTATTTGAATCGAGAAAACACAAAAGGTAAGTATTTAAATGGATTTCCTTTTTAGTAGTGTCGATGGTAAAAATAAATCAAAAAATAAATTCTAAAAAATCAACCAATAGAATATATATTCTCTGTTTGCGACCTGCAATAATGTATCTAAATATTTTTATGAAATTACAAAACATTCCATTTCACTTAATTTGTAAACCAAATCGTGGGCTGAAAATAACACATAACTTCAAACAGCAAAGCCCAAACGAGATGGGCTTCGAACATCAATACTACAACATTAAGGATGATGAACACCAAACGAAATGGGCTTAGATACGATTGAGTGTTCAGGAAAGTCATATGAAGTTCAAACCCTATAAAGACAAACCCTATTGATATTTACAATTTTATTTAGTAACCATATACCCAAATCTTTAATCATACCCTAAACCCTATTTCGTTACATCAATTCTTAATTCATATTTAGAATTCTGTTTTTAAAACAAAATGGCTTGAAACCCTATTTAGTAACCCTATTGATATTTACATTTCTATTTAGTACTTAATTCATATTTACAATTCTGTTTTTAAAACGAAATGGCTTGAAACCCTATTTAGTAACCCTATTGATATTTACAATTCTATTTAGTAACCATATGCCCTAAACTTTTATGAAACCCTAAACCCTATTTAGTTTCATATTTTTCCTTTGTACATCATCCTTCCCAGCATCATATATTTTTGGGATATTTATTCAAAACATATTACATTTACACATGAACCAAACTATATCAATAACCAAATTCGGTTTTCAACCTCATAAATTGTCGGGATTTTTTTTCTTAACATATCACTGAATATTCTCTGTAATTGAATATTCTTTTTAATTGTTACCAACAATAAATTACGAATATATATATATGTGTAGAAATAAAAGTATAGAAACAGAAACCAAAAGATTTGCTAACTAATTAATTATATA